GTCAAGATGGCGCCATATTGGGGTAAAGGTGGTATATTGTGATTGTCATATCTTCTTAACGAGTTCGGTGACCCCGACTTTTTTGTGTGATTTAATTTACTTTAAGTATATCATAAACTCCATTCTTGGGAAGTTTCAGCACATTCTCATTTTGGGAACAATTACTGCGGAATTACCTTAAGACCGGGAGGCGTGTGAACATTTCTTGAAAAATTGTCGAATACCAAACTTAGCACAAAAGTTAAGAAAACTATCGAATAGTTAAGCATTTGCACACGATTTAATTGTAGAGTAACTCATTACCTTTAAATATAGTTAACGCAAAAATTATACATGCTACGCAAAGAAAGTTAGTGACAAAAATGTGGATCATACCATAGGAAAAATATCTTTGTATGGTTCAGTTAAAGAACATTTCATACAATAAATTTATCGACAGTCAACTTTGGTTTATTTTCTTGCATAATACTACTTCTTGCAAATGTAGACTATAATTAGTTCTAGTTTTTAGGTTGCCACGTTCATTATTCCGTTCGCATTTTCACAGAAAAGGCAAAACATCGAAGTCGTTTCCATTTTGAGCTTTTGACAACATTCGGAGCACTTGACAACACGTTCGCAATACAGATTTCAGTAATGTTGACGCATGCGCAGACGTTTTTCCGCGGTGTTTAAATCGACACTCTTGACGGCATTAAACTAAAGGCCCGTTTGCACTATGTATATATAAGTTCAAAATAGCATTTTGTTGCTAGTTAATCCGCTACCGAAGGCAAAATATGAGGAAAAATATAACTTATAACTAACATTAACTCGATAAGAAAGCATGGATTATATTTATAAACGTTTATAATATAGTCATGTAGAAGTGATATTTTGTATGTCGATATGAATACGCAAGATCGGTTTAACAGTGCGTATTGGTTACACATACTGTAGATTAATCTGCAATATGTTAAGTGTCAGAGTAATCAAGAAATACATTTATAAAATAGATGTTTTGATATTAAATTTTAGCCAAGATTTCCTGGTGCTACTGCAGACTGTGTTAGGCTAGCATGTTGTATATAAACATTTTTTGTTCCAATCTTTAGATTGTTCGAAGCATTGACTTGAAACCTGAAAGCTCTGTCACGACGAATGATGGTATCGACTCGGGGGTACTTCTTGCACAAGAGGTAGAAAATGACCAGTCTTAACCACAACCAGAGACAGAGCTACCAACTGTTACTGGAGCTTCTACTGCTGTGTCAGAATGTCAGAATTGTGCTAATCACAAAACAAAGCTTGCTCGTCTTCGGGAAACGTACAGAAAGCTGAAATACCGGCACAGAAAATTGCGTAAAGAGCCCATCAATTGCAACAAATGTGCAATTTTCAGGTATACTCTATGTGATAATATGCTTTGGATAATGGTAAAACTAATTTGGTTAATTAACCCATTAGCTGGCAATGCACCCAGATGTACCCTACTCTAGTATCTTATACGCTCTCCAACCCTCGGACAATTTACTTGTCGGTGGCAGAGTACTGCCAGTTAATGGGTTAATAATGTGCTGTGAAAAAATGTATGTTCAACTGCTGAAATTTCCAATGTTTATTTGTGGGATGTTCTATAATATGTAATAGATCATAATATTGTGTAATGTGAACTGATAAAGTTTTTCTCAATTTCTAGAAATCTGAAAATAAAAATTCGGATACATCAGAGAATTGCCAACAAACAGTGATTCAAGAAGAGGTCGAGACTGATAGTGATAATTTGTGATGAAATTATCAGTGATGATGAAGACGAGATAGTTCGTGTGTACGAGAGAGATGAAGACTGGGTAGCAATGGAAGAAGAAATACACGCAAAGAAATTTGTCACTGCTTCTGAAGATGAACAAATGAATGAACTATCAAAATGTGAGATAAGGTCTGTATAGAACAACCGTAGTTATAAATTGAGATTAATCTAAATATTTTGACATTTACAGATATTGTACGGTGCATCTGGGGAGAGTGAGGTGTTCCAGAACATATTCACATTCTTCTTACAAAGAGAATTTGTGCCATCTGAAGAGGCAAATCTACTGTACTACCGGGAATAGCACAATGACAAGCATGTCCATACAAATGCATTAGCAGGATCAGACTCCAAATTTAAGATGTGGATGTTTTCTGAAATGATCAGATGTATTATATTCATAATCTACATCCCGTACATCATGATGTATATATAGGAAATAGGGAAAATGTTATGCATACAGGTAATTCATTTTTTCTCACTCGTAGAGTTGAACCTGAAACAGACTGCAAATATGAGCCAAAGTTCATTGTTTTCTACAGTGCACTTTTGCATATATTTAGTATGTTCTGTTTCGTATGCAAAGCAGATTCTCCCAAAGTTTCAATGAAGAAGATTGGAACTATGGTTATTATAGATCGGAAGAGCGTGGCAATAATTGCCCAAATGGTTTCACCTGGAGGAGCCAGCCTCTCATAATGGGAACCTATCCTGCTGGAAATATGTTGTTAAGCTTTGCAATATTGATGGCAGGTGCATTGATCAGCAAGGTACTGCTCGTTTTCAAGCATTTTGGTATGCAGGCTTATAAAGCGAGAACATTTTTCTACCACCAGAGCAAATTTATCTTTCCTGCCATACTTCACCACTGGGAATCATATCAGTCGGCATTGATATCATCGCTTAGAGCCAGAAAAAACCTGGTGTGGTCTGGAGATGGAAGATTTGATTCCATGGGGTATTCTGCCAAGTATGGAGTTTACTCTATGATGTGTTCACCATCAAATAAAATAGTGTATTTTGAGTTATTACAGGTACGGTATGGTGTTTGATTTACTGTATAATGAAAAACTGTTTTCAACATAGTAAGGTTAAAACAAGTGTTTTCTGGAGCCTGAACAACCTAAATAAATAGGTTGACAGTGATTTGTATGTATATACATCGATCGATAAACGTGTTGAAGTTCCTGGAACAACTATGTTTTACCTTGGACAAAAAGAATGTTGAAATCTACCTTCATAGATCCTTCTAATTCACCAGTAAGTTAATTTAAAGCCTCCAACATTAGGAGTATGACAACATTTTGAGACTCGGATTTTAATAATATTTTATATGTTGTATAATTCCTATTTTTTGTTATTCTGAATTTAATATTTTAGGAAAACTAGGCTGGCAGTAGTACTGCTATGGAGCTGAAGGCCGCAAAGTTGTGTTTTAATTATTTAAAACAATCTAATCTGGAAATTCCGGTGTTTGTTTCCGATCGACACCGGGGCATTGCCAAGTGGTTAAGAGAGAACCACCCTACCATCACACACTATTTTGACCAGTGGCATATTGCAAAAAGTGTGGTGAAGAAAATGTTAGCAGCAAGAAAAATAAAGGCTGCGAGATAATTGCTAAATGTATAACAGCTGTAAAACATCATATTGACTGGTGCTCAACAACAACCAAAGAAGGGTTTCAGAAATTGATTCTTGCCAAATGGAAATAATTTATTCGGCATGTTGGAAAAAAGCATACAATCCACCCTGACCCGCTGTTTCCAGAGTGTACACACAAGGATCACGAGAAGCGCAGAAAATAGATAAAAGTTGGTAAGTCAAATACAGATCAATAATATTTTAATTTTTCCGTGAAACCCTCTTCTTTGGAGATGGGATTGAAAGAGGAAAGGGCATGTCTCTGAAAGAGAAGGCACTTGAGCAATTAGAACTCTATATGTATTTATGTAGGCACACCTGCATACGAGAGGCTTGAAAAGATTGTCTTGGAGACAAGTCTGTTAAATGACATCAAGCGGTCCAGATGCAGAGACTATGAAAAATGAAATGTTTCTCCTGGCTATTGCAGGTATAAAGTATATAAAGATAATAACCAGCAGTCTCTCATCAAGTAAATGTAACGTCACCAATAACGGTGTGCGTCTTGTTTGATCTGATCTGAGAAAATAACAACAAAATCTGCTCTGAGAATAATTTAACCCTTTAACTTTCCCTTTAATTTAATTACAGTATTACATGACGTATTGCCTTTGATTTACTTGTATTAATTTTGCTTCTTGAATGAAAAAGTTACCTCTTGTTTAAATATATTTCTATCTATGGATTGTGTGTATGGCTTATCCTCCTATTAACTGGCGTGGTGGCAGCGCGGTTGAACTTCCGCCAAGTTATCGGCGTCAGGAAACAACTGAGAATTAAATGCCGATCTATGTCTAACTTTGAAATTACAAGTTAAGTCAACACTTCGAATATTTCGCTGTAAAGCACGTCCATTGGATTAATAGCAGCAGTTATGGCTAGTACTCACCGAGCTCCAAAGCAATGGTGCCTTTCAAAGATCGAGACTACAACTAGCTTTGAAAACCGGAGCTGACTCGTCCCCAGTCGTCTCTGTGTTTCAAGCGCGGGCGGAAGAAAAGGTAGCAAGGGTTAGCAAGGGCATGCAGGCGGTGAGCACACGTGCTAGGAGCGCTGGGAAGGGAGAAAGGTGCGAGACGACTGGCATATCCTGTTTTCAAAATGGCGGAAGAAACAATGGCGGGAATCGCATTAAATTTCAACTCCGAAATGCGTCCATTCGATGACGCTTTTACAGACAGGAAATTGCCATGTCCGCACAGATCTTGTAGAAGTGAGACTGAAAAAGCATTTTTTCAAGATTTAGCCCAACATTATAGGATAAAACACCGAGAATTAGCGTTCAACAAGGAGAAGCACACTCAAGAAGCGCGTCGATTGTTTAACCTGTTTCACGGCAATGAAACGAAACAGTACTTGGCAAGGGTTTTCTCTAAACGCTCTCTTTAGGTAAATATTTTTGGATTCAACCTTATTATACTTGTCGGCGTGGGCGATTACACGGTTCGCTTAAGAAATGAATATTTTATGAGTTTAATTATATTGAGTATTTGACAACGCCATTAAAATACAATATTTTTTTACTTATTTTACTGTTTTACATTTAACTGTGGAGAGACAAATATATTCGTTATACTGTCACAACAAAGTACGAAGCCTGCCTTGTGTTTGAAGTGATAGCCAAAGATACAAAAGAAGCCGCAAAGCTAGCTGGAGTCGTTCTTATGCACTTTGGCCAACTAAAATCTTATGGCGAAGGAACAAAACCATCCATTGTGGAAGTATTATAACAAGATTTGCACGTCAAGTTCAACCTCTGGACATAAAAAAAAACATTGGTGAAAGGAATTTAACAATTATAGTTGCAGAAGCTATTTTTGTTAGAAAAGTATTAAGTATAATTTATTCACACTGACATTTATAACATTATTTTGGCAGATGATAAATATCCAGGATATCACTGTTTGTCTTGACTGGCCTTGTTATTTGCAGACATTTTCCAATAAAATTGTTTTCTTTAATTAAAAATGAGTTATGTTCTGTTATAGGACTTTGAAATTTCACTTACCATACTTATAATATCTGTAAAGGCCAATCAGAATAATAAAAAAGAAAACCGTTCCACAAGAACCACCGAAAACGAACACAGGTCAACAACCCCTTTTAGATGGAAAAATTTATTAATTAAGCCCACACATTTTGATTTATCCCATTAAGCTTCAGACCTTCCTGACTGACAAGTAAAATCATCTGGTGTTAGGCAAGTAAGAAAAAATAAGTAGGGCGCACTGGGTCGCATTGCAGTTCAACGGGTTAACTAGAGACATTGCCAGATTTTTTGGTTAAGTCTCATTAAACCGCAAAGCTTCCCCACGCACAAGTAAAATCGTCTGGCATTAGACAAGTAAAAAAATATATAAGTAGGGCGCACTGGGGCTCAATGGGTTGATTTATTGATTTTATTTACATGAACATATTTTTTATTTCTATATACCTGGGGAAGAGTCAGTTTCTATACTCTAAGTGCATTATTTTCAGGTAAAATGTACTTATTGATGTACAATTCAAATTTTTTTTTTAGAATCTTTCACTGGATTTGACAGGAGATAATATAATGCCAATCAACCAGCGTGATATCAATATTGATGACATGACAGGCAAAAAATCTGTTGATATTCTAAGAAGTGTCTTTCATTATGACGTCTTTCGAGGAAAACAAGAGGAGGCAATTGATAGCATTTGTCAAGGGCAAAATACATTGCTTATTATGCCAACTGGTTGTGGAAAATCACTATGTTATGCAGTTCCAGCTTTGATGGAACAGAAGCTTGTTGTTGTTGTTTTTCCACTGCTAGCTCTACTGTTTGACCAATTTGAAAGGATGAAATCAAAAGGACTTAATGTTGGTTTCCTAATGAAAGACATGGATGAAATGGACAGACAGAGTGTCATACACAAGCTCCATTCCAACCCACCAGAATATAACTTGCTTTTCCTTACCCCTGAGACTGTGTTATCGCCATCAGTATTTGACTTGTTATCGAAACTTTCATCCGAGAATCTGATAAATTTCTTTGTCATCGACAAAGCTCATTGTATCGACACTTGGGGTTTTCATTTTAGACCTTGTTATGCTGAGCTATGGAGACTTGGAACATTGGAGTGCCCAATAATGGCACAACAGAAATTTACTTTTGAATACTTGAAATCTCAAGCTCATTACAGAAAGTGTCTATTAGCAAATTTCTCCCATAGAAATTTATTAAATTGTTTTTTAAATTATATTTTGCCATATATGTTCATACAGTAAGTAAAAATACATGTATGTATTCTGCACTGTTCACAATTGTTCATACTTTCAAATTTTTGCATGATTTTTTATAACGAGTACAGTCTGGCAATGTTTGTGTACCAGAAGATTCCTAGAATGTTTTACACAAACTCTTAGAACAAGCTAAGAACAGGAAAATTGATGTTCTTTGTTTAAATGTTGGATAATTCCTTATCAGCTGACAAGATTAATATTAATCCAACTATCATATACTGGGTGCTACAAAGTTATATAATTTTATTTGTTCAAAATATGACTCTGTAATAGATTGTACACACTCTTGCAAATGGGCATAACATTATTTAGGATTATTTTAAACCATAGTAAAGGATACATGCCATTCACTCTGTTACGTCTTGTCCTAACCATTGGGAAAATACTCTTAATGGTGCGTCTAACTAAGATGCTTTCATCCTCATTAAGCCCAAGATAAGATAACACAACCGCTTTGTCCACTTCGCAGTTTTCCTGTTGAACAAAGGCAGCATTGATCTTAGATTCTAACATAGATCGTCTGTAATTTACTTCCTTGCCAGATGGTTTACCACCTTAAAAAAGAGAAAAAATTATATTCACTGACAAAGAGATCATGGGTCTAGGGGTGGCAATCAGGTGGAGGTGCATACCCCTTTAAATAGCGAAGCACTCCACAGAAAATCTCTTTAGACAATAGCTTCCTCCCTGCATCTAAAAACACAGCCCCTCAAATATATACAACCCCCCTTGCCAAAGCAGTCCATTTATGCCCATGATATGGTGTTTTAACTTAGAAATCAATTTTCATATTTGTGTGGATTTTGCTTTTCAGTGCTCCAGCATATTACCATAAATTAGATAAAACAGACAGTTGAAACAGTTGAGTAGATAAACAGGCAGTTTACTTTTTCACAAAACATCTATTAAAACTTTTCCACTAGGCAGAATTTTGTAAGAGGAGCAGAATTTTTCTTTGTGAACTCAGGCAGTTAACTGATTGTAAAAAGCCAAAGAAAAATTCTGTTCCACATGCAAAATCCTGTCTAGTGGAAAACAGCCTTAATTATGCTCACATACCAACCAGAAACCGTTTAGCATTAGGTTGATTCAAACTCTTTGAGTTTGGTGTCAGGTTGTGTTTCGTTCCCCGTCTGCCATCACCACAATCTTTTTGTACATTTGAACACTGAGAAGTCTCATAACTTAAATCATCATATAATTTCCTGCAGACTTTCTTAGGCGTACTAGTTAGCAATCTTCCAGAGTGACATAAAGTAACAGAGTCATCGACTTCTTCATCTACGCAATTATTAAGCATTTGCATATTTTATTTTATTTTATTTTATATATGGACTGTATGCATATACTGTACTAGTGAGTATAGACTTTTTCAATGAGATTTTGGTTGGGCAAGACAAAAATTGAACACAACTTTAATACACAATTGAAAAAATTATTTGGTCAAAACAACATGTATTTGTTTCAAATGGTATTAAATAAATACAGGAATCACAGGTTGCACACTTTAATACGTGCAACAATTTAATAATATTTATACATATAAAATCACATTAATACATTGAAAAAACCCCAACAAATTACTTGAATATAATAAAAAATGGCATAATCAGCAAACTTACCATCAATATGAAGTGACTGAATCGATGTATTTGAATCTTCCAAATCATTTGTATCGCTATCTTCCTCAGGCCAGAAAGCCATATTTTTGAGCAACCCAAACTCGCAGCTATAATTTATGTAACCTTATATTTTTATTCACAAATTGAACAGAAACTACAAACTTGACATCAAACTTTAAATTTGGACACCAACAAACAAAAACCCCGCAGAAAACAGCCTCTACCAGAGTTTCGACTGGAAATCCAGAGTTTCGACACAGGATCTGCCAGTCGTCTCGTCTTTCTCCTCTCCCGCTACGTCGCCTGCATCTTTTTCCTGCTTCCACCCGCCATTTTGCCTGCCTCCGCCCGCGCTTAAAAAACCTTGCGCATACCTTTTCTTCCGCCCGCGCTTGAAACACAGAGACGACTGGGGACGAGTCAGAAACCGGAGGCAGAATTTAATCTACACTTTGTCATTTGACAGCAATTTCGCACCTTTCTGGCCGAAGACGCTACGTGGGGAAAGAAGACTGGGGCCCAGCCTTTACGTCGGTTTACAGAATGACGGCGAAGCCGTTGCTCAGAACAGTCGTCAAACAGCTCAACAGAAAGTAAATTTCTTAGAACTTATGCGTGGTCAAATAGCAAACTATTGCCCAATCATATCTAGGAACACTTTGGTCCAAAATTCAACCTCTATACAGTTTATCTGGAATACAATACGAGAACACTTTGGTTTCCAAGTGACAGGAGCACACTTTCTTGATTTTGCAAATCTACGTTTAGCAGCAGAAGAGCGTCCTGAAGACCTATACCAGAGATCAGTGGCCTTTGTTGAGGACAGTTTACTTCGAGCTAACAACCTCTCCCACCATGGGGTGCAGCTTGCTAAACCGAGTTAAGATCACGAACACTGGCGTCTATCAAACCAGAGATATCACAGGCCCTGTCCTCATTGTTGGAGGAAATTCATACAGCTGATGATGCCAAAATAATGCGTACAGCAGTTAGCAGCTATCGAAAGTCTGGTAGTGAGAGACCGCTTGCTCGACCAAATACCAGATCAAATTGACCACTTAAGTCATGTCCCCTTTGCAAACAATTCAAGCTGGCCGCACTAACAGCAGCCACTTTTTGAGCGAGTGTAACTTCCTGCCAGACCAAGATCGCAGATACATGGTGAAAGCCAGACAGATTGCAGAAATTTTGGAAGATATCCCCAAATGCGAGAGTAGCATAAATCCAGTTGATCCCGCTTGTGATCTGAGAGATGAAGAGTCGAAGACCAGCTCCAGAGCCTACCGCATTCAGGCTCGCCAATCCCCATATGTGGACATGTTCTATCACCATCATCCAGTGCGTATAGCTATAGATAGCGGAGCAACTGGGAACATGATTCGCCACCGAACGGTTCAGTGCCTCGGTTGTCATATAGCAGCCAGTTCCCAATCAGTCCACCAGGCAGATGGTTCATCCCCTCTTCATGTTGTTAGCGAGACACGCCTTTCATTTCACCGTTATGGCAAATAATTCATCTTTGAAGGACTGGTGATTGAGAACCTGGACGTGGATGTATTGGCAGGTACACCTTTCATGGAAATCAATGACGTTAAAGTCCGCCCAGCAAAGCGATTATTGGTTCTGCCTATACATATGGATCGGTGCAATCTCAAGCATCAACCGCAACAGCACGCCGTGCATTGGTGCTCCGTGCCCCTCCAACATCAACGACAGTCTGGCCTGGTGAATTCGTTGAGATAGAGCTACCAGGTGATGCTCCAGCAGATACAAAGTATGCCTTAGAGCCTCGAATTGATGCCCCCAGTGTAAAAAGATTAACAGCATCCCAATTGTGGCCCTGTCCCAACATAGTCTCAAGTGTCGCAGGGAGAATACGAATTCCAAATCTCTCGTCAGAACCCCGGTCGTTAAAGCGGAACGAGCATTTCTGCCAGGTACGGCCAGTGTATACACCTGATTTAAACAATGGTGATCACAAATTAGCAGTCCACCCAGCTCCTAAGTCGTTACAAACCCATAAGTTTTCGTCCGATGTATGCCTTGAAACAGACAACCTCCTACCCCAAGATGTCAGAAGGAAGTTTACCTTACTTATGGAGTCCTATGACCATGTTTTCGACCGAAATATCAAGGGCTATAACGGAGCAGCAGGCTCATTTGAAGCTAAGTTGAATATGGGACCTGTGGAACCACCTCAGCGAAAGGGTCGTCTACCTCAATATACCCGTGACCAGTTGCAGGAACTTCAGGCAAAGTTTGATGAGCTTGAAAAGCCCCCCCAGGGGGGCGAAAATCCTAGGAATTTCGCCCCCCTTTAGGAAATTCGCCCCACTTTAGAAACTTCACCTTTTCTCTAGGATTGTCATCCTCCGTTCAAAATTCCGCCCTTCCTAACAGTTGCATGGGATAATTATTACATGGCTTTAATCATTTGAAATCAGTATCAATTCAAAATTGTTAAGACAGAACTTGAAATAACAACCGATCAATGATCGGTAAGGAATTGCTTATGATCGGCGGAAAAGCAGAGTTTCGGTTTCTAACCTGAAAAAAAGCAGGGAAAGTCGCGACTGCCGATCACCATGATCGGGAACTTTGGGAACGTCATTTCATGCCCTGCATGTAAGAATACAAATTTACAATTACATGTATCGAAAGGGTTTTACAGTTACAGTAGATGAATACTCAATAGGACTTATGACGCTTCACAGCACACCATGCATATCTTGCATTTTCAGTGTTAATTCTTAAACTCATTGTTAAAAAGTAATCACCGTGGTGGTTATTGTAATTATTGGTATTGTTTTGCATCCACGTTTTGTCATTATCGGAAAATGTATGGTTTGTCACTATTTTTTACTTGCATTATTTCACTATAGTTTGTAAATCTCAGAAGCGAAGGGTAGAACTTGCCAATAGGCAATAATCCAATAATATACCTTTCAAAAAAGACAAGAAAGCTTTTAGTTTTGCAGAGTTACATTCTCAAATGTTTAAGGCATGCACTAATAAAATCAAAGTATCATGAAATGATTTGAATAAACCACACCACATATACAGGGTGTATAAAAAAAACGCAACCTCGGAATTTCCCAAGAAATCGACATTGTTTTAAAGACAAAAGATTTTAAGCGCCTGGGAATTTAAAATAGCATAACTGTCAAAATTACTGCACACGTGAGTGCATAAAGCAAAATTTATGCATTTATTTAATGCACAACAACAGTAATATGATCTATTAGCAATTCGATTTCAATTCCCAGGGGCCTAAAATCTTTTATGCTTAAGAATTGCAAAGTGATTTCTTAGGAAATTCCGAGGTTGCGTTTTTTTTATACACCACCCTGTATAATGCAATTTTCTTAGGGAAGCGAAGAATCAAGATTACATCACTGACACGGAAAGTTGACGATTCAACTGTGGCGGCTATTGTTAACACTTAACACTCGTATTGATAAAATTTGCGAGCGATTATTTTTATAATATGTTATGTGAATGTAAACTTCCAGAAGAATACGACAACATGATTTTATGCGATCTCTGTGATGGTTCCACTTTAGATGTGTAGAATATGACACTAGTCTAAGTACCTCAAATGAGTGGTTATGCAGACTGCGCACACCACCAGTTGCTAAGAAGCCTAAAATGTGTATGTAATTTTGTCTCCTTGTAATAAATAAATAAATCACACAATAAATCTTTTCAACTTGCAATCGTTTTGTTTTTAGATAAAAAATTCAAAATTTATATGGGGGGGGCGAAATTCCTAAAGGGGGGGGGCGATATTCCTAGGAGATTCGCCCCCCAGGGAAGCGATATTCCTAGGAGATTCGCCCGGGGGGGGGCGAATATCCTAGGAATATCGCCCCCACACCGGAAGATGTCAATGTATCCGTGGAGTATCTGAACCCGTCATTTCTTGTGAAGAAGTCGAGTGGTGGCTCCCGCCTTGTAACTGCCTTCGCAGATGTTGGTCGTTATAGTAAACCACAGCCTTCATTGATGTCAAATGTTGATTCTACCCTTCGCCACATAGCTCAATGGAAACACCTAATCGCTACAGATCTAACAAGTGCCTCTTATCAGATTCCACTCGCACATGAGTCTATGAAGTATTGTGGTGTTGCTACTCCTTTTCGCGGTGTAAGAGTATACGTGCGTTCTGCTATGGGCATGCCGGGCTCGGAAACCACACTTGAGGAGTTCATGTGTATACAGAGTGCTGGGTAATCTGTTGGAAGAAGGGGTCGTTGCAAAAATCGCAGATGACCTATATTGCCAAGGCAATACCCTTGAAGAGCCTTTACAAAATTGGAAGAGAGTCTTGGTAGCCTTGCACAAATCTGATCTCCGTCTCTCCGCACTAAAAACCGTGATCAATCCTAAGTCCACAACGATATTAGGATGGATATGGAATTCAGGTACACTAAGTGCAAGTCCACACCGCATTGCGACCTTCGCTTCGTGCCAAAAGCCAGAGACTGCGTATCGACAAAGATAATGTATAGGAGCTCTTAAAGTGCTATCTCGCGTCATTCCAGGGTGTTCATCGTTGCTCACTAAACTTGACGACGCTGTGGCCGGCCGCCAATCGAAGGAACAAATTCAGTGGACTGACGAGCTTCACACAGTATTCTGTAGGGCACAGCCTGCTTCGTTGCAGTTCGCACTATAATCTTGCCAAAACCATAAGATCAATTTGGATTGTGACTGACGGAGCTATTTGCAGTCCTGGAATAGGCGCCACACTTTACGTCACCAGAAAGGGCAAGCTTCGTGTCGCAGGGTTTTTTAGTGCGAAGTTACGGGGCTCACAAGTCAGATGGCCGCCATGCGAGGTAGAAGCCTTGTCCATCGCTGTTGCTGTCAAGCACTTCAGCCCCTACCTGATACAATCGCACCATCAGGCCTACATACATACATACATACATACATACATACATACTTTATTGTGTTCCTCAGAGGCTTTTCAACACTAATTTACATGGAATGGTGATTAAAAAACAAGGTTTATATAAAAATTTACTAGGAAAAATCTTCTATTATTAAAATAGTCCATTACTAAGAATACAGTCTGTCTAACATGTCTTTCTTTAATTTATTCTTAAAACTTCTCAAAGATGGCATTTGTTTCGTGTTATTGTCCAGATCATTCCATAGTTTCGCCCCTCTATAATGAAATGTTCTCTGGCCAGTGGTGGTATTATAAATCGGTATTTGGAGGAGCTCTCGGTTACGAGTGTTACATCATTCATGTATATTTGATCGTTTACTAAATTCATTGCACAAGTAAGGTGGGGCTAGATTGTTAATACACTTGTACATCAAAACTGCAGTTTTGGTGAGTATGATCGAAATTCTTGCCGTTTGTCACGATCCTACACGCGAAGTTTTGTACCAGTTGTAGCTTGCTAATATTTTTGGCCGAAGTGTTCGACCAAGCAGAGGAGCAATAAAGGAGTTTATTCATTACCAATGCTGATACCAAGAGGGATATAGTTTCTTTATCAAAAGATTTGCTTACTCGGTTGATCTGTGACAATTTGGACATGCAAGGGGAGACTAATTCGGTGATATAGCAATCGTATGACATGTTGGTGTCCCTTATTAATCCTAAATCCTTGGCTGAAGGAACTGGCCTAATAGTTTCACCTAGAAAATGTAGGCACATATCTGTAGGGAGATTTTGTAACTGTTGTCGCGTTCCGATAAGTAAATACTTGGTTTTCTCCGGGTTAATAAGTAGATGAAGTTCAGAGCAGCATTTTGCTACTCGGCTGAGATCTTCCCGAACGTACTCTTTTGTGTCAGTCGCGTCTTTAACACGAAATGACAACAACATCTTTGAATCATCAACATATGAATTGAGGGAGCTGTGACGTGGGGCCAGTGGTAACTCGTTTACATAGATGCTAAACAAGAGTGGAGATAAAATAGCACCCTGTGGAACCCCGTGAGTGATGTTAAGAGATGACGAAACAGACGTTCCATACGGACAAATTGTGATCTGCCCGTTAAGTAGCATTCGAACCACTTCACTACCTCAGGAGATGCGCCAATGTGTCTTAGCTTGTTAAGCAATGTTGGGTGATGTTCGCTATCAAATGCCTTCAATAAATCTAATAGTATAAGTGCAGTTACAGATTTCTGGTCCATAGCTTCCAATATGAATATGATATCATCAACCAAAACGTTCAAAGTTTCCGAGGAATGATATCTTCTGTTACCGCTTTGATGCGATTTCCGACATTCATTATGGAACAAAAATGTTGTAAATTGGCATAAAACGACCTTCTCGCAAATTTTTGACACAACTATAAGTAAGGAAAGGGGACGATTGTTGGATGGCAGTTCATGATCACCCTCCTTTATTAGTGGAATAACTTCTGCCTCGTTCCAAGATTGTGGGAACTCAGAAGACGTCAGTGAACCACTAATAATATCTGTTAATGGTCCGAGGATGACTGGTAAGCAGTCCTTAATAATGCACATGCTTACTTTATCTTTGCCTGGAGCCTTGTTGGTGGGCATGGACATTATAATGTTTTTAACTTCAGAACAGGAGACAGGGTCAAAATTAAACATCTCAGATTCGTACACAGCGTAATTTCTATTAAGCGCTGTAGTGGGTGGAGTATCAGGGTAAATATTATAATCTTGTAATAATTGAGATGCTGCTATGGCTGTGTTCTCCCCAACAGAAGAAAAAAAGTGGTTGAACTCTTCAGCAACTATCTTTGAGTCTTTGCTATAGACGACCGTCTCTTTTTCTTTGTAAGCTACAGTATCTTTGATAATTTTCCATAAGGAAACCGTGTTGTTTTTATGCTTCATCACATTGTAGACATGATTTCTTTGTGCTTTATTGAGTTCGGTCTTAACAGCGTTACGAGCTGCTTTGAAGTTGCACCAATCGCTGTGGTTTCGTGTCTTGAGAAAAAGGCCGTGTAGTCGATCTCACTTGCCCATTAGTTCTTTTACTTCAGGTGTCACAAAAGGGCACGGTCTATCTCTGACTTTTAGAGTCTTTATTGGGGCATGAGAATCGAGGGTGGTCTGAAGTACGTCATCGAAAATTTTGAGTTTTTCATTAATATCATTGACCAAAAAGACGGAAACAAGGCGTTCAGATTTAGATGCGAGATCAGCGGCAAATAATTCGGGATCGTAGTTCCTATATCTGCGAACTGTAATGTGGGAGAACTGACCAAAATTACGTCAATCAAAGATTGGCTAATGTCTGTGATGCGGGTTGGAGGTTCGATAATTTGTTTGAGATTGAGTTCTGACGTCATTTCGGTAGGTTACGTCATTTCGGTTATCTTAACGGACAGCAAGCCCTGTGTACAGGCCTATGAAAAGCTTTGTCGTGGTGAATTCTCCGCAAGCCCAAGGGTGTCAACGTTTCTGTCTGCCGTAAGCCGATACCAGGCGTCTGTTAGACATGTATCTGGCTCTGCTATTTTCCCCTCTGACTTTGCAAGTCGCAACGCCGCACTGTGTGAAGATGAGGCATGTCAAATTTGCTCATTTACGAAACAGACCCAAGACTCTGTTATCAGACGAGCATCGGTACAGGACATATTAGCTGGTGTAGGGCGACTTCCGTTCACTAGCCGAGCCACTTGGGGGACCATACAAGCTGAATGTCCCGAATTACGACGCACTCGCGCCCACCTACTACAAGGAACACGCCCATCGAAGAAACTCACAAACGTTACGGATGTAAAAATATACCTCCTTGTTGCTACCATTGCCAAAGACGGCTTGCTGGTTGTTAAACGAAATGAACCACTCGTGCCAAGCCGGGAATGTATTATTGTCCCTCGGCAAGTACGAGAAGGTTTGCTGACGACTCTACATATTCGTCTCAGCCATCCGTCCAGCCATCAGCTTAAAGTCGTTGTAAAACGTTATTTGTTTGCCTTGGACATGGACAAAGTTGTTAATCGTGTAAGTGAAGGTTGTCACCATTGCGCCGCATTACGAAAGACCCCAACAGCACGTATAGAACAGTCGTCCTGCTCTCCACCAAGTACTGTTGGTGTGGCATTTGCTGCCGATATCGCCAAACGTTCCAAACAACTGATCCTGGTATTGCGAGAGTGTGTAACCTCACTCACAGCTACAACTCTTCTCGAAAACGAACGCCATGACACGTTTCATGATGCCCTAATCCGTCTGTGTGTCCCAATAAGACCATTAGATGGACCCATAGCAGTCAGTGAACTGATCCAGCACCCCGATTCAAAGCTCTTGCAGACGATGATACTCTGAAACAGCACAGGATTTCATTAGAAATAGGTCATGCGAATAACCTCAACAAGAATCCTGTTGCAGAAAGAGCTGTACAAGAAGAGGTAAGTGAGTTTCTCCATCGTGATCCATTAGGTGGCCCAGTTTCGCATGTTACGCTTGCGGTAGCCACAGCCAACCTCAACTCGCGTATTCGAACACGCGGTTTATCAGCTAGGGAAATGTGGTCCCAGCGCGATCAGTTTTCAAACGAACAGATACAGTACCTCTTCATGATCAGGACATTATCCTGAAACAGAACGAACAACGCATAAGCAACCATGCCCATAGTGAAAAATCAAAGGCCCCAGTTGCAGAATTTCGTACCACCGAACATATGACCGTCGGTGATTTAATGTACCTATACTCAGATCGCAACAAGACAAGAGCACGAGCGCCACCAAGTATTCCAACAGCGATTTCTACGCCGCCTAACCAAACTTCACACTGTAACGAATCTAGTGTTAATGCCAATGCCTATACTACGAACGGAGTAATTTCGAAGATTAGCCCCATACAGAAGATGAGTCAAGGGGGAATCAATATGTTAATGGACCGGGTGAAAAATGTGCCTCTGCGTAGGTTCAGCAGATAACGACGTCCGACAGAACGTTTCGGTGACTATGTGATGGACAAATAGCTAAGAATATCTGATCATACATTTTAATTAGTTATGTAATTTTTTATACTTAACTTTTGTGATAAAATAGGAAAAAGAGAAGTTACGCTAGTATTACATGACGTATTGCCTTTGATATGCGACCGCGAGTGACGGTGACGTTTATATAGTCTAGCGCATGTTTTGTTTACTTGTATTAAGTTTGCTTCTTGAATGAAAAAGTTACCTTTTGTTTAAATATATTTCTATCTATGGATTGTGTGCATGACTTATCGTCCAATTAACTGGCGCTGGCTATCTTACATTTCAATGAAAATGTTTGGAGACTAAAAAATTGGCAAAGGATGGCACCACATACGTAAATGTTACATACCCCAAATACAAAAATGGTGGTGATGTTGCCCGAGATTTCGCTGTTGCTGCAATGCTGCAACTTATGGTATGTAATTTTTGGGACCCATAATATTGTAATTTCTATTATCTAGTATACTAAGGTATGTTTCGGACATGCTGGGAAAATTGAAGGTCCCACGATAGAAAACAAGGGGAAATCTGTATTTCACATTATTTTCATTTTTTGCTTAAGTTATCTCATGTTTTGTCATTTAGTTTATGTTTGCAGTATCAAAGAAAAACCAAACCTCAATGACCAAAGAAGAACGGAAGAAAATCAAGGACACATACAAGGATAGAGTTCCTGAACCCTTGACAAGCCAGTTTTTAGAAAAGACCCCAAGCAGTGAAGCAACAAAATGCTACAGGGAGCGAAGAGCGAAAACTGCCGAATTCTTTCTATCAGGTAAGTGAGAAACCATAACTACCAACACCTCAAAAATTGTCGCATAATAAATGCAATCAATAACCAAGTTTCTCCTGTTGTTATAATCTCCTCACATTTGATCATTTTTAGTTTCAGAACAAACATCATTGATCGAGGCAGAAAAATGAAAGTCGACGGCAAATCTACCAACCTCGTACCCAGGGTCTTACGTATGGGAAAGATCCTGGTTGGGGCTGGTCACGTGATTTTACAAAAATACATTGACTAAGGGGGGAGGGCAGAGTATCAAATTGTATGCTTCCACAAAAAACGTTACACTTCCATTACAAGGAGTGGATCAGAGTGATCTAAATTATATTTCGTCATTTTTGCGATACATGTTTCGAAATGTCTGCTAATTTTTCTGTTTGCTTTTTAATTACAAATTAAAACATTTTAAAATGTTGTCATCAGTCAAGTAAACAAAGCTAGAAAATCGCATGCTTTGAAGATGTTTCGTATCAAATCTGTCACTATGGTCAGTTGACAGTTGTTTATACTTTTTTTATATTTCTAATAATTCTATAAAAAATATGCCATTAGATTTGTTAATTGTTGCTTGAAAGTGTTGATAGGCTTTGGATCGATTTACTTGAAATTGCCGGTACGCGTCTTTTTTTGTTGAAGGTTGATAATTTTCAAAAGTAACTATATCACGAGTTTGTAAGACAATCTGAGACATTTGGCCTCTAGCTAAACAGATAGAATGCTTTCTTTACAGGTAATAAAACTAAAACAGGAAAACTGTCTGTGATTTATCTTTGAATGTAGTTCATCGTTTTTATTGTAAACTTTAGGAAAGTGGGTATATAGAACGTAGTAAAGTACAAAAATTCTGAGGTGAATGTAAAAAATCTTCAGCCTCGGGACTCAATGCCAATGTGGCAATACGCATACATGCGCTGTCCGTTTTGCGGCAGATAGTAGCCTCCATGCATGAATCAAGCAAATTTTTCTGATATACACAAATGACATTTATTACGAATATATATAGCTAAATACATCCCTTAAATGGATAAGCACAGACATACGGCCAGCATGCTTTTATAATTTATATAGCCTAAATCCGCATAATATTATACTTTACAAAATAAAAATCCTTATTTATATTATTATAAAGAATATCGGTCACAGTAATGGCAATGTCACAATTCAAGGCTGTTTATCAAATTTATATTTATTATGCGGTGTCTATTATTGACTATTGTCTATAAATATAACTGATATCAGAGAAACAGGCTGAGTCTCTGTGGCTGAGTTATATACCGTATAATTAGTACGTACACACTGTACTTGTTATTCCTTTGAGTAGTTGGCTATTGTGGTATTATTTTACCGTGGATTTGATAACATATAATACTTCGACATATTTCTTGATCGTTGAATTTCAGTGAAGCCAATGCAGGAAGTTATACACCACGCGGTCTTTAATATTGTTACAAAGTTACAAAGTTACAATTGGCGATATTTCGGAAATCATAAGATCCCTCTGGTCGTTATTAAATAAATCCTTTGGGTCGAGTATCTGGATAGACTGGTCAACATGGAAATATATTATCTTGTAGGCCTATGTTTACCGCGGCGTGTGACTTGTGTCCGTACGGCGTAGTATATATATATATATATTGTATTGAAGTGTATAAACTATAGACCACCGTCTTAATATTAAACGCTTTGAAGTTTAGTTTGATAGTTTGATAGTTTAATAAAATCGCACTTTTTGCAGTAAAGTTACTGAATTACAAGGTGATTACAAGTGTAAAATAGAGGTATAAATATATACATGAATTAAGATTATAGGAAATCTAACAACAATAGAAATAACTAATCATTTACTATAAGACTACTAGCTATTAAGAAGGAGTTTTTAAATCGTTCGGTTTTGAACTTCGAAACATCAACTGTCCTTTCATTCCTTAGATTATAAAAAGGTATTTTCTTACTTATAGATATAAGATTAAAAAGTTTATGATTAGGGTTCGCCAAGATTTTATTAAAAAAGTTCTCACAAGATTTATTTCTTCTCCCTCGGAATGTTGATAGTCCGCTCATAACAAGGAATCTTCGTACTTAAATCCTGGGTGCGCAGTTGAGAGTGCACGCTTTTGAATTCGTTCGATATCGTCATTAAGATACGTTGGCAAGGAATAATTGAACACATTTGAAGCATATTCAAGGACCGGTCGAACACATGTCGTATAAAACTGTAACTTTATTCGCATACAGTATGGTGAGCAGATCAGGCGAGGAAGTCCATCGTCACATAAAGGTTTGCAACGGTAGATTGTTTCGGACATAACAAGCAATTGGAAATTAGCTCTGTTGTACAAGTTCTTTAAATACTTGGCTTCGCAAACACTTGACAAAGCGGTCGACATGTATTGGATGGCACACTACAGGATTTGTATAACTTTTAGGGAGTTTCTTTCACATTATAAGCGCTCGAGGTTACAATATCTTTTTGGAAACGATAAAAGTGTGCTGATAGGCGTGCCTTCGCTTTTGTTTATTTTTACATAATTATGACAACATCGGCAATAATTCCCTTGCCACTCCTCCCTGAATGTTTTTAGAACGCTAATTGAAAACACCCCAGATTTTGGGGTGTCACGTGACCAGCTCCAACCAGGGTCCGAGGTTGCAGATCTACCACCACCAAAAAGGAAAGCAAGACAATGCTCAATATGTTGAACTATGAACATTTACCTACATATTTTCCTCATTCTGACAAAATTTAGTTGTAATATAGTGTGTCATGTATAGTGTATGTTGTTGTGTTTTGTAACTTTGTAACAGATATGCTATAATTTCTTTTCCTCCGCCAGATCATAGCGAATAATAGTATTCTGGCCTCTAGCCAATTTTAATCCAAAAAGATTATTTCTAGGGGCCAGTATCCTTTAATATTACTTTAATTCATCTTCTATATTTTCTTAAAAAAAATTGTAATTACTTATGTCAATCAAGGGAAAAGATAAATTGTTGTTGTTGTTGTTGTTGTTGTTGTTGTTGTTGTTGTTGCTGTTGCTGTTGTCAAAATGCAAAGCACCAATGAAAGGCCATTCACATTGTCCTTGATGTTATTATATTGTAAAATCAATAGTCTGAATGGGTATTCCAGAAATTATCCACACCCCTTCTCCAGGGAAATTTCTGCTGTCCATGCATGGGCTAAGGTGGGAAATCTACTTCTGATAAATTTTAAAATGCATCAAGGCATCCAAAGGGAGGAAGTGTAACTCCAATTTTTTTGTGTGGAAGTGATGAGGTGTGGATGTTTCTAGAATAACCCAACAGAATATGAACAGAATTATGCCATGCTCCCCATAGCTGTGAATTTGAATGGAATGTAAAGCATCATTTACTGTACAAAACCAACCCAGGTTTAACAGCTTCAATCTGGTTTGGATATTTTATGCTGTATTTTTTGGCTGTTGATTTGTGTAAAACTACCTGTTTCCCCGGCCCACCCTTAAAACTTCCAGGCGAAGAGCCATTGCTCGAAACGTTGAATGTCTTATTGTATTTCCGGGTGATTTTATC